GATATTGACGTACAGCGAGTCTGGGCCGGGCGTACGTCACACCAGCTCTGTTTTAACTACAAGCATCTGCTGTTTCTTTCACTTATATGAGTATTAGAATGCCAGCTGCCAACTTGCTGAGGAGCCCGTTAAATTACATACATCACATTTTTTTATATATTTTTCCTGTATTTTTATAAAGCTGAACTTTGGGCACAAAAAATCTCTTTGCAAATCCATTTATTACAATATAAAAGTAGCAGCAACATTTATCAAACTTATGCAGAGAGCGGAGCTGTGGGAGAGACTCACTAGGCTCCACCCACTACAGGCTGCCTGCAGAAAACTACAGGAGGGGGCGGATGCAAGACCAGTCACGTTGCACAAGCAGAGAGAACAGCAGTGACTGGTCTTTACTATATTAAGCTCCTGCACAGAGGCAAAGGTGTACCCCGTATTACTGCACAGATGTGGAAGAAAGCAAATAAAGATTCAAGTGAAAATACACATCTTCATCTAACACACATTATATGTAGGGCTGCAGCTAACGATTATTTTCATAATCGATTAGTTGGCCGATTATTAAAACATTTTTGGAATGTGTGAATATTTCAGAAATTAAAGTGTTATCAGTTTATTTTTACCAATTAAAATGGAAAGTAAACGAACAGAAGAGAAATCCAGACCAAATCAATATTTGGTGTGACCATGGCATCAATTCTTCTAGGCACACTTGCACACAGTTTTTGAAGGAACTCGGCAGGTAGGTTGTTCCAAACATATTGTAGAACTAAGCACAGATCTTCTGTGGATGTCGGCTGCCTCACATCCTTCTGTCTTTTCATGTAATCACAGACAGACTCCATGATGTTGAGATCAGGCTATGTGGGGGTCAAACCATTACTTTCAGGACTCCTTGTTCTTCTTTACGCTTAAGACAGTTCCTAAATGACATTGGCTGTATTTTTGGGGTCATTGTCCTGCTGCAGAATACATTTGGGACCAATAACAAGCCTCCCTGATGTTAGGGCATAAGTATCTGTTTGAATTTCTCAGCATTGAGGACATCATTGATCTGCAGAAATGCAGCCTCAGACTTGCAAGGAACCTCCACCATGCTTCAGTGTTGCCTGCAGACTCTCATTATTGTACCACTCTCTAGCCATTCGGCAAACAAACTGCTTCCTGCTACAGAAAAATATTGCAAATTTTTCTGCACCCCATTTCCTGTTTTTGTGCATAGTTGAGTCGCTTAGCCTTGTCTCCACGTTGGAGATATGGCTTTTTGGCTGCAATTCTTCCATGAGGACCACTTCTGGCCAGACTTCTGTGGACAGTAGATGGGTGTACCTGGGTCCCGATGGTTTCCCCCAGTTCGGTGCTGATGGCACTGCTGGACATCTTCCGATGTCAAAGGGAAGTAAGCATGATGTGCCTTTCATCAGCTGCATTAGGTTTACTTGGCCGACCACTGTGTGTACAGTTCTTAACATTGCCCATTTCTTTGTGCTTCTTTCAAAGAGCGTAAACAGCACATATTGAAACCCCAGTCTGCTTTGAAATCTTTGCCTGGGAGAGACCTGGCTGATGCAGTGTAACTACCTTGCGTCTTGTTGCCGTCTTGCCATGGTGTATGACCTGTGATATGAAACTATCTTCCACAACCTCACCTTAGTAGCAGAGTTTGGCTGTTTCTCACAACCATCGCAAGACTTTTGGATTGCGATGGTTGTAAGCTGATTAAAAACTCATACGATCTGCCCATCTTGGACAGGCAGATCGCAATTGCGATCATCGATCATCCGATGACTGCAATGCTGAACGGGCAGTGTGCGCTTGCGCACACCGGCCAGTTGGGCATTTGTCTCCCGAGCATGCCACAAACTCGCCGACAATCGTACGATTCTGGCCGGGTTTTCAAACATGCTCGTTAGACAAAAGACATGCGACCTACAGTAGAAACGGTTGCACGCCTTCCATACACCTTGCGATTATCGTACGATCGCGGGATTTCCGTGATTATCGTACCTTAAGAATTGAAGCCAAAGGGCAGTCACACCAAATATTCATTTGAATTAAATTTTTCTCCTGTTCACTCATTTTGCATTTTGTAAATTGGAGAGAGAGAGACTTTTCTTATCTTGACTTGAAGCATACAGTAATTTAAATAAACACACATTATAGTGATTTTTGAAACTTTTTAATACAATTTGACATCACATGTATTTGGTGAATTTAAAAGAAAATTTACAACATTTCATTTTATTTTGATATAAAAAATATAGTTCTAACCAGAAATAAAACTACAGAAGTAAAGTAGAATTTAACCAATATAAATTTAACCATTTTTATAGAAAACACCAATCAGAACTTAATTTGCTGAATGGGTGTCAATAACTAACATTTTAACTTCCTCTGTGAATATGGTTTTACAGTTATATGTTAGAAAATGTTCCTCTGCAGGATCCGCTGCCATCTTTGAACTCTAAGAATAGAGGATCCATTTAAATGAAAAGGACATTTATATGACAGTCTTTCTATGCAAACACATGGCTGTAATGATGCAATAGAAAAAAAAGGTGTCCCCTATAGAAATATGTTGTATTAACAGTATTATGACAGCAAGTTTGTCAAATTATAACATGCTGAAATCTACAGAAGAACATTTTTTTATTTGAATGGAGCTGTTCCATAGAAAGCCTCCCTTAATCTAAAACAAAGCACAAAGGCCCAATCGCAGGAAGCCAATATAAAATAATTTCAATTTCCCTGATAGGAATTAGAGAAAAAAAACTGAAATAGAACTATTTTTATATTTAATTTTTAAGAGTCGACTACACACATGCTATAGAAATCATTGCAAGATGGCTTTATGCATGACAAACGTACCTAGGTTAAATTCTTAGTCATATACAACTGCTATGAGAAGTGGTTCCAGCTAATCTCATCCACACACAAAATACAAAAAGTTGACACTTAAATTGTAAAGTGTACGTACATCCAAAAGAGAAATATTTATTGGACAAGAATACACCACCATAAATTATGTGGACATTAAAAGACAAAGGACTTTTTTAATACAGACAAATATTAAACTTTGGCACATGCAGCATTTCACAATCTCTGAATGCCTTTGAGCATGTACTAGAACAGAAGTATACATTCAGTAGGTTATGACACCGTGACCCATATTCAGCAATGGGTAGCAAGAAAGTTTCTTCCTCAGAAAGATGATAATTAAGATCCTTTACATTTTGTTAAATGTGCAGTAAATTACAGTCATAAATGTCATTCAATGGAAGAATTGTAAACAAACACATTGAACCTAATTTAGGGTCAGTCCACCCAAAACTGCTATTTCAGTGGTAATGCGTTTGTAGGAAAAGCTGTTCGGGGCTGTGCAGGGCCACACAGAAAAGACTGCTGGATTGAGGTCAGCATCAATCAGGAAAACAGATTAAAAGGACAATTAAACAAAGGTACAGTTGTCACTTATGTTCTTGTCACTGCATGTCTGCTGGCCCTGAAGCGGGTTCTCACTGAAATGTTTTTTTTTGTTTTGTTTAAATGTACATTAGATTAAGTTATTATGAAGCTGCTGGAACTCCAAAAGCTCCCAGGTGGATAGGAAGAGCATCAAGATTTATTCCAGAAAGATCTCAATGTTAGAGTCCCCAAGACATACAAAAAGCCTGGGACCGACTCAGCCCACCAGTTTTCCACCAGACATTTAAAAGGTCTAAATAATAAATGTATGTGTAAAAGATATTGGTGGACTGACCATTTAAAACAGATTGGATAAAACTGTTCTAGAACATCACAGCAGATTATCATTAAACATTTCAATAATGCCACAGTTATACTTTCAAAGTAATTTGGTTGGTTGTGCTTTTTTTTGGTCTATGTTTTGCTCTTCGGGCACCTTTCTAAAAAGAAATGGCCTGTAAACTTGAGTGCTTCCAACCTCTTAGAAAATTAGAAAAAATATTTTCATAAGTTTTCTGTAGTGTGCAGAAAAGTGCTAGAAATTGATTATATAAAAATACCTCTATATTTAACAACAATATTTACAGTTTGGCAGTAAGGTGCAAATGCATTTGTTTTCCTTTTGGTGCAGATGTAATATAGTATGTACAGATATGCAGCACAAGATCTCGTTAGGGTAGTACTGAAGAATTGTGGATAGAGGAGATGGTGTCTAAACTATCAATATTACATCTGCGGATCTGACTGGGTGCTTTAGGTAGCACCTCCAGTTTCACGTTATGCCTCATTACTAACAAATATGACATCAAACAGTGAAAGAAATGTTTCTATCTTGTATTCACTGATCACAAAATCAGAAACTGAGAAACTTGGCACAATGGGTAGACACATGGCAGGTTCCTTCACATGAAAATGTTAAGGCCTTTGTCAAACAGTCATTTTTTTGCCCCCACCAGAAGAAAAAAAAAATCAAAAATACCCTTTACCAAAACATTCATAAAAAGACATAACATTGTTACATTTTCTTTCTTCTAATTTTAGATCTTCATTCCTGATCCACGCTGGCAAATCATTGGTATATAAAGTAGACTTCTCTGAAGCCAGTCAGAAAGCCTAGTTGGTTAGTGAGAAATATGAACAAAAAACATTTGGGGGTAACCAGCACCCCTAGATTGAGCACAGTTCTGGCTGTGATGAGTTAGTGCATGATGTTATCTTGAGATCTCAGATAATGGACTCGGTTACAAGCCACTTCGCTTCTTCCTAAGGGCACCTTGGTTGCTGCATGGTTTTAATTCAGCATACTGCACCTGTAAAAGTAAACAGACATGACGTTTGCTATTAAGTAATTGAAGCTTTCTACGGAGTGAGATAATAGCTCCCTAAGGAGACACTCAAGGAATCTACGAACATTCTGAGTAATGAATCATTTTCTAAACATGAGAACACTGAAAATTAATTGGTAGCCAGAATGGAGTAACTTCTACATGTGCAAATATTAAGTGCAGATCTTATTTTAATGAGGCAGAGGGGCTTCTAACAGATTTTAGAGATGGCAAATAGGTGTCCTTTTTACTGAGTTAAGGCTATTACAACGTACTGCGCAACTGAATTAAAAAGCCCCCAGAGAACGGACAAAAAAAATGCACATTAGTGGAATGTAACAGCCTTAGTGCAAACCTATAAATAAGGATGACAAGCAGAAAAGCATACCAACAACAAGTTCATTACATGAGGAGCATCATGTAACTTGATAAGCTTCCCCTTGCTGGTTTACTGTGCATTCCCTCTGGAACGTTTCCAGATGAGTAATACCAGGCTGGCTATTGGCAGGACCTGCTCATGAGCAAAATAGAAAGAATCGGGTTTGCAGCACAGCGGGCATTTATGAGATGGACAGAAGACACTCAGAAAAGTTCAACACACTTATGACATTATCTTTTATTCTGCCGACTAGAAGGAGCTAGGAGGAGATAGTAGGATAAGGAGTAATCATCAGGCCTGGATGCTATGGCTGCTTGGCATAAATTAGTTTTTCTATTATATGACAAAAGGTGACTGCAACCAGTACAGAACTTATACTTGCAATACTTTACTGACATGCAGTACCAGAAATTCATAAAGACCACACTTAGGCTTAGCAAATTGTGGTCACATCTATTAACAGCTTCATTATACCCTCTGGCCAACACTGGTAGATATAACAGGTGACCCTCCAAGCTGATCACACTAACCAACTGATCTGTGGGCGCAATACTACGTTTTAAATCCTTCACGACCAGAGGTCTGTAAAAGTTTGCAACCACAAAAATACTGGGAAGATTTTTTTCATGAAACTTCTACAGGCTACAGTGAACTGTCTGCCTCTTTCACCAATTCATGGCTTAAATAGGCAGGCCGTTATGCTTGCCACATATTTGTGGCCCCAGTTTCTTTAATATGCACTTATTCCACACAAAAAGGCAGGAAGGAACAAGAAGCCAATTTGCTTATCCATAAGAGCAGGAGCATTGCAAATGTATAATTATTTTTTTCTTCCTCTGTTTTTAAAATTACATGCTACAGTTTAATCCTGCTAGATACTGCTATACTGTTCTATGTAAAATATTCTGGGAATTGTCTGCAAAACTATATTTGGTGTCCATCAATGCTTACAATGTAATGAAGTATATGTTAACTGAACTCAGTTTTCAAATGTGATTTAAATACGATTTATATACAGTATATATATATATATATATATATATATATATATATACATATATATATATATATATATA